TTTTTAGTTTTTTGCTATAGGGCGCGTGTGCTTGCCAGAAAGACAGAGAGAGAAAGAGAGACAGTGAGAAATCACCCCCCAAGGAGGATGGCCACGCCACAATCTCTTCTCCTCCATTCTCCTCTCGGGATCTTGGGCTCACATGCATATGCGCCTGGCATGAGTTTAAGCCACTGGGCCCGGGACTTGAACTGCGCTCGACTACATGGGGGTCCAGTGACATAGCCATTATACCAACTGCTGGTCCCCGGCATAAGTTTTAAGCCACCTGGTCCAGGACTCTAACTGTGGTCGACTATGTGGTAGTCCTGCAATGTAACCATCACTTTATTTGCTGGTCCCGCTAATTTAACATTTTCCAAACTTTAATTAATTTTTGTTCCCTTTAAAGTTTCTCAGACACAGCACTCCATAGATGGCTCGTAGGGGAAGGAATTTTGGGTTAGAAATACAAATCCTGGCTCCTCTAATACAAGCAGGAACTCCTAGGGCTCAAGCAAGTTTCTTGGGCTTAGGGTCCTGGTAACTGACTGAGTCATTTATAAAGTCATTTATTTAAAAACAGACTTTATTTTTAACAGACTTTAGTTTTTAGAGCAGTTTTAGGTTCACAGCAAATTAAGAGAAGGTACAGAGAGCATTCCTACATACTCCCTGTTCTTGCACATGCACAGCCTTTCCCACCCGCTGTCAGCAGCCTCCCCCAGAGGGCACAGCCGCTAAGCCAGTGCGCCTACCCCGACACCTCATCTTCACCCAAGGCTAATGTTTGGGATTTACGTCGTGTATTCTCAGATGGACAATGGTGCGTATCCACCATTGCAGTATCACAGAGAAGAGTTTCACTGCCCTGAAAATGCTGTCTCTGCCTCTTCATCCCTGCCCCCTCCTGACCCTAAGCAGCCACTAATCCTTTCACTTTGTCTGTAGTGGTTTTTTTTTTTTTTTACAAAATATTTTATATTTTTATGGGTTATTGTCTTTAATACAGCAGGGATTGATATGATTATAAAAGGTACACAAAATAAATCAGAAGAATGTTAGCACTCAATAAAAATTAAAACCTGAGCTGAAGGTAGATCAGAAAGTCTGACACCTGACACCCATTGATGGACATTAAGAAACTTGTTTCTAGTAGGCTTCTTAAACAATTCAGGTAATGTAGAAAATTACAATACACTGATTTTTTTTAAAAGAATTATTTTATTTAACTTTATTTATCTTTAATTTGACCAGAAAGGGACAGAGTGAGTGAGTAACAGAGAATGTGAGAAAGCAAGCTGCCAGGTTCAGGATTCGAACCCTGGTCGGTCATGTAGGAGTCCAGTGTCCTTAACCACCATTCCACCTGCTGGCCCCATAATACACTGATATTTACAGTTAATGGCTTTTGCTGTTGACAAACATTTAAGAAAACTAGGGTTATCTAAAGCTCATAGTCTTGATGGCAGGCAGTCATGTAAATTATAGATCTTTAATTAGTAAGAAGCAAAGTAAGATTTTGTTGGTAAAAACAACTTGTTTATTCACGTAGCTCTAAAAGGCCGGCTCAGTCTTGTCAGAGCTCAAGAGAATGGCAAAAAGAGGTCCAAGTTGTGGGGCTGGGTTAACATAAATCCATCCCAGCTTCTGGAAAACAAGTGACACCGCACAACACTATCATGAAGAACCACACTAGTAGGAATAGGAGACTTGTGGTCTAGTTCAGTTACTCTGGATTCTGTAGTGCCTCTTAGTAAGAATATGGTAAGAACCAGGGACATCCTTACTCCTCTAATAACTATCCATGTAGGCAGGAGGAGAGGAATACAAGAAAGCCAGCATAGATTGATGAGTCTTATTGATTAAAAATCTGTGACTTTGAATACACTCTAATATGCCGACTCTTGAGCTATAAGCCAATGGTTAATACGCTACAAAGCTTTACAAACATAAAATCTTCTCATATGTTGTTGAACTTCAAAAAATGAAACTTCTTTTACTTACTCTTTGCACAGAAGTCCTAGAACTGAAGAGTCACTGGTACGTCTGCACATTTATGCAGGTGTCGTCCAGACATGACGGTTTCTGTCAGTATGATGCAGGAAGCAATTTCAATTGAGGTCAAAGATTTTATAGTCTCTCAAAACACATTTCCAGTTCTGTGCTCCATGTCACATAAAAAAGAAAAGAGGGAACTTAGACTCATGTAGTCTCTTTCAGCCCAATGCCATTAAATTCCCAATGTCTCCATACTAGGGAAGCATACCAGTATTTCAGTGCTCTCATAGAAAGCACCTCTAGTTCTACAGCAGACAGTTTCAAATTTTCTACTTAGATCTTTTCTTTTCTTTTTTTTTTTGAGAGGTTTTTGCTATAGGGCGTGTGCGCTCGCCAGACAGACAGAAAGAGACAGAGAGACAGAAAGTGAGAAATCACCCCCCTGGGAGGGGGATGGCCACGCCACAATCCCTTCTCCTCCATTCTCCTCTTGGGATCTTGGGCACGCACACACATGCGCCCGGCGTGAGTTTAAACCACCAGATCCAGGACACAAACCGCAGTCGACTACATGGGAGTCCAGCGACATAGCCATTACGCTAGCTGCTGGTCCCATACTTAGATATTTTCAGAGTGGGCTGAAGCAGTGCCCTTTACTTAGTGGAGACCAGCCACTGACTTCCTTCCTTTACCAGCTCCCCAAGAAGATACCAAGTGAATTTTTGCCCTGGTATTTTTACCCCGGGTTTTACGAGGCTTCTCTTCCTCGTGCACCTTCGCATGCTGCCTCAGAGGAGAGCTCTGGCTGAAACGTTCGCCACGTTCACTACGCCGATAGGGCTTCTCCCCTCTGTGTGTTCTCTGTCGAGTAAGGTGGGAACTCAGGCTGAAACCACGGCCGGCCTCATCGCACTGATAGGGTTTCTCTCCAGTACGAGTTCTCTGGTGCTGAATGAGATGTGTGCTCTGTTTAAATCTTTCTCCACTCATCACGACCACAGTGCTTTTCTCCCGGTGCGAGTCCGGCGATGCTGAATGAGATTAGCACTCCCACTTTTCCCACAGCCAGCACATCTGTGGGGTTTCTTTCCAGTATGAGTCTTCTGTGTTGAAACAGAGTTCAGTTCTGACTAAAACTCTTCTCACACTCGGTACATTTATAGGTTTCTTATCCAGGCTTCTTCTCAGCCTACTCAAGCTTGAGTCAAATCCAACAGTCATTCCCCATTTCTGCCACTGCTGCCTGTTTTGCATTTGTTCTCAGAGGCTTTTCCTGGACTTGAGCTCCGAGAAATACCCCCTTTAGGTTTTCCTAGTCTCATGGTGAACAGCGAAATGTATTTGTAAGACAATCCACTGACTTCTTCTGAACTAAGGTTTCATTTCCTAGAGCTTCACAGTCCAGACTTTCTGTTTTACACTAAGGTACGTGGGCACAGCGCCAGCTGGTACAGGGGCCTGGCTCGCACCCGCAGCAGTCTGTGGGGCCCGAACTCTTAGGGGCACTGCATCCTCCACTGCCAAGTCCTGCACTGACCAGGGCTCTGCAGCTCCCCAGCAGGTGCCACAAACTCGAGTGACAGGAGCTACTTGTAGTGCAGACCTGGCTACCTAGAAAGCACCTCCATCACCTGACACATCAAAGGAGATGCTGATGACAAAACGGCAACTGGCCGGGGGAATCAGCAGTTAGCGTAATGGCTATGTCGCTGGACTCCCACGTAGTCGACCGCGGTTCGTCTCCCGGACCCGGTGGCTTAAAACTCACGCCGGGCGCATGTGCGTACATGCCCAAGATCCCGAGAGGAGAATGGAGGAGAAGGGATTGCGGCGTGACCATCCCCCTGGGGGGTGATTTCTCGCTTTCTGTCTCTATGTCTCTCTCTGTCTGTCTGGCGAGCACACACGCCCTACAGTGAAAATCTCTCCAAAAAAAAAAAATGGCAACTGGCCGGCAACCAGCCGGCCACCGCCCTCACCCACCACACACCTCTCGCACTCTTCTCTCTGTAGTTTTTCCTTTTCCAGAATGTCGTGTAGTTGAATCATACAGCACGCAGTCTTTGCATTTGGGCTTCCTCCATTATAGTAATAAGCATTTATATCTCCTCTGTGTCTTTTCATGGCTTTTCAGTTTTCTCTTTTCATGCTGAATAGAATTCAGTTGTCCATTGTCGATTTACTGCTTAAAAACTTTTTTTTTTTTTTAAATGAGTTCCTCAGTTGCCACAGGATAGCAGCAATGGGCTTCATAAAACAGTACCCATGACTGAAGTGCCTTTGGGCTCTTACCTGCGTTGCCCCCCCACATACACGCTGCTCCTGGGCGGGCTCAAGAGGGTGCTCTGAAAGAACTAAGAAGGAAACGTGGTTTGTGTATTTCTAAGTAACAGCTTTGGAGCTGCCCTGAAAACTGGTTTCTGATTTTCTTCTGGATATATGTCAGTGCCACTGCCTGAGGGTAAGGGCTGGGGATTGAGAAAGGACAGAGCAGACAAAAGCAGGGTTCAGGCGGACCTGCGCGCCTCTGCTGGAGAAAGCCATGGGCCCGAGCCATTCCGTGCTCATTCGTTCATAGGGGAGGCAAAGCCACGCGTTTCAGCTGTGGAGCACCTGGTGGTTCGAAACAAGCCTCTCGTGGCCGCCCGTGACTGACGCTCAGGTTACTGCTAGTTTGGGTCTGACCCAGACAACCAAGTTCATCTCGCCCAGCTGTAGAGCGTGCCTTTGTTTGGAGCTCTCGCATGCCCAGCAGGTCGCAACCACAAAGCACAAGGACTGTATCCACTTTTAGGCCGCTCCCTGCGTGTCCGTACTTTCCCCTGCATGAAGTAAAACCATGTCCTCCCTTCTCTCAAGTGTCAGGAGGTCATAGAGACGTCCCTGAGCAGTGCAAACCTTCTGGCAGACGATGTG